ACCGGGTTTTGATTGCAACTCAGGTCACTTCCCCAACTTCAAGCCTGCGCTGCTTGCAAGGGGAGAGTTGTGCCTCAAGGCACGGTCTCGAATTCAGCAGTTCGAGATCAGGCAGGATTTACCATTGTAGCACCACATGGCTGTGGCTGAAATAAATGTACCGAAATGGCACCTTGCTAAATGGAACCAAATACTAAAACCGTGTAACCCTAGCTCGTCAATTTTGAGCCACAGCCACATCACCCATAAGGACATCCTCGTGCCAGGTTCAAGACTTTGAAAGGGCACGTGCAGACTTCCGGCAAGTGCTGCAGGATGAGCACAGCGCTCAGCGTCATGCTGCGAATCTTGATCGTGGCACATGTTTCTGGTGGTTCAACAGTTCTCTTCGTGTTAGCCTCCTCTTGGGCGCGGGGTTCCCAAACGAATCATCCAACGACGGCTGCAGAAGTGCTGCGTTGCCTTTCTATGGAAGCCGTGCGCAGGCCGGTGCATTTGGTTGCCCGTCGTGGCTTGGCAGACTCGTCAGGGCCCCAGGGCGATGGAAGTTTTTGGTCTTTCAGTCTACAGCTAGCGGAATGGGAGAATCGCCGGTTTTTAGCTTTCTATTTGGGAGGGACATGGGAGGCGCACGACATTTCCCACAGAAACACCAACAACGGAACCCACAGTTTCCTCTGACGAACACCTTAGACTATTCTGATAACTTCTGGACCCACGACAAAAATCCCACAGAAACACCAAAAACGGAACCCAATTGAAGCTGGCCAGCGAGCGAGGCTGCGGGGCCTGGGGAACTGCACCGAGGCGGGGGGAATGGGCCAATGCGACGGGAAACGTCTCTCAAGAGTGGGCTGGTGGGCATTCTCCGCACCTGAGTGATGTCCAAAGGGCCCCCCAATGGAAAATACATACTCACAGATGTTTTCACAGAAGAGAATTGGACACCAGCAAAAAAAAGGCATTTAACGGAGGATTCAAGCAAACTGTGGAAGATTTTGTTGGGTCACATTGGCACAGATTTGGTTGAAGCGAGTGTAGCAGAGTGTATGCATCTATCTATCTATCTACCTATCTACTTACCTACCTATCTATCAATCTACCTATCTATTTATCTACCTACCTACCTACCTACCTATCTATCTATCTATCTATCTATCTATCTATCTATCTATCTATCTATTGATCTGTCTGTCTATGTGTTCATCCATCCCTCCAGCCCTCCAGCCATTCATCCATCCCTCCATCCATGCATCCTTCCATCCATCCATCCATCCATTCATCCATCCATCCATCCATCCATCCATCCATCTATCCATGCATATATACGTATATTGTATGCATACATCTGTACATGTGCATATATTTGTCTGACTGTTTGTCTATCTAGTCTGTCTGTTCTATCTATCTACCTACCCAACTATCGACCTATAGATCGAATCCGTCTAACTGCCCTGCGATGGACCAAGATTCCGCATTGCTTGGCGTGTAAAATTGGCAAGGACATCTAGATTCCATTTATTTTTTGTTGGCAGCGCTGTTCTACAATGTGGCACTGACCAAACCCCAACACGGCCAAAGTAATTGGAAGCCTGTAGGAGGTTTGCTGCAAACATGCCAGAGGCTTGCTTTGTAAGTATATACATTCAGGAGTTTCGTTTTTGAGCCAAAGCCTGCAATATTGTAGAGCAACACGGCTTAATTCATGCCAAAATTGGGAGGGGGGGGGGGAGTCCTGCACATTTGTGACTTTCCATGTAAATCTGGTACACCTTTTCCATTGCTGTCTACAAATTGACGGTGCTTTGAGATATCCGAGATACAAAACTTTGAAGCTCTGAACAACTTCAGAATTATTTTAGAGTCGCTTTAGAGTTTCATATCTCCATTTCTACATTTCTACATTTTCCATTTAGTTCATACTAATTTGTCGCTTTAGAGTCGCTTTTGTATTTGTCCATTTCTACATTCAACTAATTGGTATGAACTCCAGGAGTGCATTGCCTTGGAGCCCTGACAAGCTAGATTTAAGCAGCTGACTGTGGATCAAGATTCGCGATGTCCCAGCAAGGGTGTAGCATGTTCTCAATCCTGAGAATCGCCCACAGTCTAGATGAATCTAGATCAGAGTTGGATTTGGAGCCACAGACCGTACAGGATCCAAAGTTATTGGCAAATAGTATGTCTCCCTAAATACTTCAGCGTGCTGTAAATGCCAGGGACACAGTACTTTTTATGACTAATGCAGCTGTCTATAGCGCGACATGACACGAACAAAGAACGGGGTACTTGAGCGTGACTTCGATTCCTCAGGCGCTGCGCCAGTATAGCCGTGCAATCAGCGACACCTCCCAGGCGCGGTTGCTTCAGCTTTCGGCGAGCTTTCGAATGGTTTCAATGTTTTGAAAAGGCAAGATTGCGGGACTTCTTGCATCTTTTGCACGATGTTGGCCCCAGATACATCTGCCTTCTCCAAAACGTCGCCCGACGCGTTGGTCTCGTCGGCGCCGGGGCTCGCCAGGCCATGGAGCGGCAGAGCCGGGAGGAGGAGGCGTCCATGTGTGGGGGACACGGGGGGGAGATTCACGGATCTTCCCAGGTCTGCTATGGGAACCAGGGCTCAGGTGGGTGTTCATTTTTGAGTGTAACCCGTTTTTTGGGTTGGAAAGGAAAGCTTTCCTATGTAATTTGAAGACATGGCGGTTCTGTTCCTCAGGAGAGGCGCAGTGAAGACCCCGAGGGCGACGGCGACTGTGGCGAGGGCGAGGGAGATGGCCGCGAGGTCACCAGGTTCAATTTGGAAGCGAGCGAAAGGTCGTTTCAGGGTTCCGAGGATACATCACCACTGAAGCCATTGCCTTTACCTGATTTGGAAGGGATGCCAAACCCTCAGCCCCAAACCCGCCATATCCTTTGAGGAACCCTGTTCCTTTCTGAAGCCAACGGCAATTCATGGAACAGCCGAAGCATGGCGTCTTGGGATTGGCACCGTGAGGACACCGTCCAGGAGCCTTTGGCCGAGCAAGGCGTGCACCTCAGATGCCCATAAACTGTTTGCCCCCACCACAAGGTATGAAGGTACCTCTAGGTTTCAGAGGCTTTCCAGCGGCTCTTTTGGTTGCCACTGGCTTTTCCAGCCGTGTGCCACAAGGGGCGCATCAAGCAGTTGACACCTTCGTCGTTTCGAACCGCTCAGATGGCTTTCCAGACGAGCCATGGGCCTCAGCTACAGCTGCCACACGCGCCAGCATTCACGGGTAGGGAAGGCTTATGGGGACTGGCGCTGAACCTAGGCGCAGTGGTTCCAACCGCTCCTTCAATGAGCAGTCTGGTCAGAGGCTGCAGAGTGGCGCATGTGATTATCTCGTCGCCCTGCGCACCATACTACAATGTTTTTTGCATCCTTGTTTCGGCAGAATCACGCGGTTTTGTGGCGGGTGCCACAAGTGGTGGTTTGAATTTGTGGGCTTGGCTTGGACCGGACGTGCGCGACATGCAGGCAAGACGACCAGCTCATGGCAGACGAGCCAGAGCAGCTCAGGAGAGGTTGGGCAAAGTCTTGCTGAAATATGTGTCCAAGGCGTTGCCCTGCAATTGGTTCATTGGATACAATGGTCAGCGTTTGACAGAAACCGGCAGTAGCTGGTGGCTGGAAGGGAGCCAGGGAGCTGTGGGTATCCGAACTCTCTTTTAAAGAGGGAGCTAAGGAGCCACCAGGAGTTCTGTAAGGACATGCTAGGTGAGGTTATGCGGTCAACTGACGTTTGGGCTTCCAGGGCGTTCCTGGTCGAGCTTCTGATGCGCCGTGCGCCACGCCCCAAGAGTCGAATGGTCGTCAGTGACGAGCTGGTGACTGATGTTCTACTCGTTAGCAATGGTCCACTTTCTCTAGCAGAATGAAGCAGGTTGGGATTGAAGGGGGATGCTCGTTTTTGATCAAAGTTTTGGTTTCAGTGGCCAACGGTGATGGCAGGAAGCTTCTACCTGCTCATTTTGTAACTGGATGGATTGCTAGAAGGGTGTTCCAGCAAAAGTGAAGGTCCTTTTTTACACGGAACCCCTCTTGACTTGACATGAACACTAAAGTGAATGGGAAGCTCACGTCGCCTTTTGAGAAGGGGACGTGAAGCCCAGGTTGCTGCTGCGGCTCATGGGAAACCTCGATGGTGCAGGTGGGACGTGAAGCCGTGATGTCGCACCAAAACGTCCCGAAACGAAGGCAGCGACTTCGCAGACGTGCTGGAGCTCGAGCCGGAGGTGAGGCATGAAACATTTTCCAGTCGACAGTTCCCTCGACGCAAAGGGGAAACCAAGAAGTCGTATACTGTCCCTTTAAAAGGGACATGGGAAACTCAGAAAACTTCCCGAAAGCGAAGGGGTATTTGTTTTGGCCCTTTTGGGGAACCCAGTAATGTTGACCATGGCTCATATTTTTGCCATCGTGAGATGGCTTAGCTCAAACCGGGGTGGGTGGGTGGGTGGGGAAGCAAACGTGACAAGCGAGAGGATTTCCTTTGCCAGGAAGGCTTGGCTCTCTTCTGGCACGGCAAGATTCTGCTTGAGCAGCAGAGGCACCAGGAGGCGCCTTGTACGCTTTGGGGCTTTTTGGGATTGTGTTCAAGGCAAAGCAACTTGGAGCCACTCGCCGATGGGGTTCCCTCTTTTCGGAGACAGATTAGTTGTTTTGTGCGTATATGTGTGCGATTTCAGGCCGAAGGCTTAGATTTGAGATGTGTGACGGTGCCAGGCAGGCTCTTACTTGCAAGCTTCCATCCAGTATCACGAGCCGACACAAATGGCAGCCCATGCCATACTGGGGGCCGCGCACCTAGTCACGAAAGAAGCGAGTCGCACTCAAAACTGCTTTTTGAGTCAGTGATATGGCAATGAATTTCAATTGTTGCAGCAGCCGCAGACTGGTTGGTGGACATGTAAATGATGTCCACCCCTTCCAAACAAATTGCTCTAATACCGACATGCACATATTTTTTTGCCGGGTTGTCTCAACACAGGATTTGGAACTCCAGAACGGGTATTGCCCTGAATTCCACCTCAAAAGTGGGGTGTCCTTAAAAAGGGCACATAGACTTTCCCTGTCAAAGTTCCACAAAAGCGCCCTGAGAAAGGAGGCCGCGCTTGAAGCCTCCCACTTCAGACCAGTGGACCCCTTGCTCTCAGGCATTGCTGATGATTCGGGCGGACCCGGACTTCGGGTTGGCGCAGCGGCACTTGAAAGAGGCACCGCAGGGTTGTTGACGACGTCGGACATCCGGCGGCATCCTGTTGGGATGTCCAACATGTGGTACCCCCCCACCCCTTTGGGAGCCTTTCTTGAAATGGAAGCCGGAAAGGAAGCCAGGCATTTAGAATGGCCTGAGGTTCTCTGCTTTTGAGACAAACGCAGAAAGGGGTTGTTGCCGCCAACCATGTGATATTGAGGGTATTTCAACCATTAAAGTTGCTTTTTTCGCCGACTGTGCAGGTCCAATCTTGACCCTTTTTTTTTTATGTGGGGGCCCATTGGGGGGTTGATCAATTTCCTGGCCCCGAAACGACATGGGTAACTTGTCCCATGTGGGAAATATCATTCTTTATTGATTTCCTCAACAAAAAATGGTCATCTCAGCACCGCAGGTTCCGCCGCAAGTCCTGCGACCCCCGGAGTTTGCTGGCGCGGGCTGCGTGAACCCCAATGCAACTCTTGGCTGCGACCCCGATTTCACCAGAAACCCCTGCTGGAGCATCGGCGCGGCCCACAAGCAGTTTCGTGGTCAGAAGCCTGTCGTGACTTGTCGTCTTTCGGTCCGTGCCCCCCTTACTTGGCTTAGCCTGGTGCAGGCTCGAGATGGCTATGGTTGTAGCGAAAATGAACGCCAACGCCCGCCGAGCAGAAGAAAGACTTCGCAAAGCTGCCAGGGGCGTAGACTGGCGTAGGCGTCCTGCGCGATTACTTCCGCGGAGGCATTCGCGAAGGCATGCTTTTAGCTGCGTAGGCCCCATGCCATATACCCCAAAAAACAACAACATAGCGTTTCTAGAGAATGGTTTGTCTTGAAACAAGGGGATCCACCCAAACTGGCTGGTTTTTCTGTTGGTTTCCAATTTGAACGCATCCAAGAAGGGGACGCCTCCATTTTGAGAACTCACATGCACCACCGACGCTTGGTTTCCTTACAGGTTCCTTGTAAAATAAATTTGAAATAGCGCTCCCTGAATTTGGACTTTGAGGGCAGCATCCGTTTGGAAGAAGGCTAAAGCAAGAACCCCAGGTCCAAGCTTTGCGGGACATCTTTGTGAGCCGACAGGCAGCTCGTCTAGCTCCCGAAAGCCAGCCGGTGCGCATCACCTTGCGGGGAGCCCAACTTCTCCAATCCTGGAATGGATAAGAGAGGCTTTTTCAAGAGGATGTCCGGACAAAAACCGCCCACTTTCATAATTGTTGGACAGAGGGCAAGGTTCCGTTTTTGAAGGCGGTCAAAGCGGTCAAGGTGGACGTCCACATATATATATATACATATTTGTTTGGGGAGGGCAATCCACCCTTGGTATATATATATATATATGTATATATATATATATATATTTGCATGGGGTTCCTTTTGTTGGGGGAGGGGAATCCACCAGGGTATCCTTCGTGTACTTGGCAGTGGAACAAATGGACTCCGAAGTTCAGGTTTCGCTGAGGTGGATCTGCTCCGCCGCGGTGGCGTTGAGCAGCAAGTCGCGCGATCCGAACAAAGCTCTGGGCCGGGCGCCCGCAGGATCTGAGGGAGATCAAATAGTCTGCAGAACTATTTGGGTATGGGTCAAAATGAAACCGGTCCATATCCCGATCATCAGGATATGGACCGCAGGTTTTAGTCCATGTGTCCATTGGCCAGGGCAACCCATTTTGGGTACCTACTTTTTGACCCACAGCCATTTGATTTCATGTGGGAGGGGGGCTTAGTGGCTTGTTTCCAAACAAATCTGGCCACCTCCTTTTGTGATGATGCCGCATTTCTCAAAGAGCGCACAAGAGTCAAGTATGGGTTTGCTCGTGCATCGGTTGCACGAGCGGCTCCGGCGGATTTGCCGGCTGAGGCCTTCTTGATCGAGCGCTTGCTGCGTTGGAGGATGGGGCCTGAGGGATTTCAATGTCAAAGGCTTCGGCCAATGGCCAAGCTTTTCGATTCAAAGCCTGAAAGCTGCGACCGAACGGGCTCAATCTGAGCCGAGTTTCTTTGAGGCTGATGCCCGCAGCGATCGTGACACATCAGGTGAAGAACTAAGCTTCATGTTTCCTTGAGCAAATCGATGAACAACATGCGACTAAGGTTGCCGCAGTGCTCGGGCGACTTGCAGCCATGCGGTATGGAACTGAGGAGACCAGCTAAGTTCGAACCTTTTTTTGCCAGTCAAGACGGCACTTGAGGCTGGCAGTGGCATTTCCGCGGCTGCAGCACTATCTGCCCGCAGCCGCAGTGCAGAAGAGGCATGGGAAATCGAGCTGCGTTTGTTTGCTTGATTGTTTGGTTGCTTGATTGTTTGTTTGATCGATCGATTGATTGTTTGTTTGTTTGTTTGTTTGTTTGTCTGTTTGAGGCAGTAGTGTTTTCCTTGCCCGCATAATTGCTTTAGTGCATGGGTCAATGTAATGTAATGTGGATGTATCTTTTTTGTAGAGCCCTCTTTTGGCTGGATTGAAGGGAAGCCAAAAGGAGGCTTACCCCATCTTCGAGATCCATTTCGTAGTGCTCTTGATGCTTCGAGAGCGAAGAGGGGCAGGCTCGATGGTTGGCCACCCGCGCTTTGGTGAAGCCGCGGCCTTGGTGCCACTTCGCAGGAAGCTTCCTGCAAGGATCCCTAGTTTCAGGATTCGGCTGGTGCACATGGAACATCCCCAAGAAAAAGCTGGTGGAGAGAAGTCTCCTGGATATCGATGTGGCTGAAGCACTGGTGGTTCAAGAGTTGAGTCACCCAACTTGCCAACCCCCCCCCAATCCCCCCCCCCCAAAAAAAAAAAAAAAAAGACAAGCGTGCACCGCGAACTGAGGAGCCAGCAGGCCTTGGCCAAAGGCGACGACCTGGAACAGGCACTGCAATGCCGCGGGGCTGCCCAGCACCGGCGCCACGGACAGGGGCTATGGCACCTGGCCAAAAGGGGGGCGACAAGGGATCCATTTTGAAGAACCCGACAAGAAGCCCCCAAACACTTTTCCGTTTTGGGCCGTTTCTTTTTTTTCCTCCTTCTCCTTCTTCTACCACCAGGTGTTGTGGGGGGTTTGAGCAGGGCCCACGTAGCACACCTTAGCCAGAGCCAAGGGTGAAAATCGGGTCAGCGCCCAGACCCGGGATCCGGAGGCACCTTCCTGCAGCTGGTCGCGAGAGAGCCCTCGCAGCGCGCGGCATCGGTGCCAGCGACAGGAAAACATGGCGACGATTTGAGGTATGTGACACACAGAATTGGTTAGGTCCTGGAAACACATCTTGTTTTGATCACCTCCTGGTTGTCCTTTGAGATAGCAGCAGGGTTTGGTTGTTTTACATCAAATTCGGCCAACCCAGGGGACAGGTGGTTTACCAACAACAACGGCAACACCAGCATTGACCCCAAACAGCATTTGCACACGTCAGCTCGTCTAAATTTGACAGAGAGCATGTTTGGGACAGGGCATTGACTTGGATGAATGGGGTGCAAAGAATGAGGAACAACCAATTGGGTAACTGACGGTTGTCATCAACAAGCAGTGAGACAAGTGGGGAGACAAGTGGGGAGACAAGGAGCAAGCGCCGGCAAATGGGGAGAACTGGGGAGACTAGTTGGGAGACCAGGTCCGAGTGAGCAGGCGCAAGCAAGGAGACAAGTGCGGAGACACTAGGGATACAAGCTTTGCCAATCCGACCGAGCAAGCGCACAAAGGGACACAAGCGGGGAGGCAAGTGGAGGGAAGACAGGTCTGAGTCACCAAGTGCAGGCAGAAGTGGGGAGACAAATGAGGAGAACTGGGGATACAACTGGGCACAGGTGGGAAGACAAACCATGACAGGGTCCGAGCAAGCAAGGCGACAAGTGGGGAGACAAGTAGTGACAAGGTCCGAGCCAACTACAAGCAAGGATAGAATTGGAGAGACAAGTGGGGAGACAAGCTCTGACAAGGTCCGACAGCAAGCGCAAGCAGAGGAACAAACGGGAAGACAAGTGGACAGACAAAACATGACAAGTACTGTAGGGCCTAACTGTAGGGGAGACCAAACCGTCTGGGTGGGAGTAACTCTTTGTATATACAAAGAACCCCAACAGCTAAGCTGTTTATGGAAAAGCAGCACCCAGATGAGAGCAAATGTGATTTTGGCAACCCCTTTGCCGCGTTGTGAGCAACTCGCCTGGTGCTTTACCGACGTTCATGTCTAGGTTTGTGTGTACGCATAGGAATAGGAAACATATACTCATGTGTCTGTGTGTGTGTGTGTGTGTTTGTTTTTGTCGACCCCCGCTTTTGGTAGTTTAAAAAACGACACCAAGGACAACTATCTGTTTTGTACCGCCTCATACGCAAAGGCACAGTCAGATGGATTTCGTCTCAGGTGCCGTCCCTGCTCTTCCAGTTGCGGGTCACTGCCTTCTGTGACCTTTGCAGATGGGAGGAGGCCTGCGCATGTGGGCGCTGGGTTGGCTGCCTGGTTCCTTGAGATTCATTTTGCCCCAGGATTAATAAACCCCTGGTTCCCCTTTAGAGGGAGTCCTTTCCTTTCGGAGGAAGCACCCCTATGCCAAGTTGATGATTCCGGGGTTCGTAGAGCGGGTCATCAGCCCTTCAGTTCGGATAGACCACCGTTGTAAAGGTTCTTCTTTGGACGCCACCGTGGCCCACAGGAGACTGTTGAAGGACACGGGTTGCGAAACGGGTTGGAGGTCTCCTTTTTGCCAGGCGCTTGCAGATTGCCGGCAGGCCATGGTGGTTGTTCCTTGGCGGCAAGGTCTCTTGAGCAGTTTGCGCGCACGCCGCCTTCTCCGGTTTCCGGCATTCTCAGGATCCGGGCGACGAGTCGACCGCATTCACGATGTACGTGCCTTGCATGCAAGCTGAGGTGGGCACTGGATGGCCTTCCTCTTAAAAATCTAAAGGACCCCTTTATGAAGCAGGTAGGCTCTTGATTCATCCTTCAAGGAACCCTGTTTGATTGCAAGCCGAAAGCCGGAAGAATCTACAACAAGCACAAACCTTTTCGTGGGGCGATGGATGATGAAAGCGAGGGCTGAGAGCAGCGCAGACTTGCAGCCAAGACTTTGCAGTTGTCGGGCACCGCGTTTTGTTTGTTTGTTTGTTTGTTCTGTTTGTTTTTTTTGTTTGGGTTGGTTGGCTAGTTCGTTGGTTGGTTGGTTGGTTGGTTGGTTGGTTGGTTGGTTGGTTGGTTGGTTGGTTGGTTGGTTGGTTGGTCGGTTGGCGTCTCTGTGGTTTTGTCTCTCCGTGTTTCCGTGAGCGAGTGTGTGCGTGTGTGCGTGCGTGCGTACGTGTGCGTGCGCGTGCGCGTGCGCGTGCGCGGCGTTGCGCGTGTGCGCGTGTGTTGCGTGTGAGCGTGTGTGCGTGCGTGTGCGTGTGCGTGTGCGTGTGCGTGGGCGTGGGCGTGTGCGTGTGCGTGTGCGTGTGCGTGTGCGTGCGCGTGCGCGTGCGCGTGCGCGTGCGCGTGCGCGTGCGCGTGCGCGTGTGCGTGTGCGTGGGCGTGTGCGTGGGCGTGGGCGTGTGCGTGTGCGTGTGCGTGTGCGTGTGCGTGTGCGTGTGCGTGTGCGTGTGCGTGTGCGTGTGTGTGTGTGTGTGTGTGTGTGTGTGTGTGTGTGTGTGTGCGCGCTTCTTTTTGTGGTGAATGTGTGAATGTGCTTTTTTGTTTTGTGTGTGTGTGCGCGCTCGAGTTCCTGATTCACCCGGACACCATCCGGTTGCAGGGGGCGCAGGACCATGGTGACCAGCGAACCACGGGGGAAGCGCGGACTGATCCGCGTGTACCTGCTGTAACACAACGTCTATTTGGGTCCCACCCTTGAACTGTTGCTTGATGTGCCCCTAATAGAGGGAAGCCGCACCAGCCCGACCACACTCGAATGACATGCGCTCGATCTCGACGCTGGCAGATCTTCCTCCCTTGGGCCTCTATGGTTTCCTTGCGTCAAGCGCGGCAGCTCCGATCGTGAGAATTGGTTTGCTTCGAACTGGACAAGAATTCAAAGCAAAACTGCGATCCACATGAAAACATGAGCCTCCAATGCTAGTGGACTCAGAGCGGTTCCACATTACGTAGGCCCTCAGGCTCATTGTTTCTCCAGGCGTCTCCACTTCTATTTCAGGCAAGCTGTCTATTTCGCCAAAGAGGTGTTTGACGAATTTAAATTTCAAGTCCTGCCTGCCTCCAGCTGGATTTAGAGACCTTTGGCCCACCTGCCTTTGAGTCTTCGACACTTTGTGTACTGGTTGTCCGTCTGACCTTTTCTTTGTGCCTTTCGATGCGTCCATGTGTCTTCTTGGTGCCTGTGTTGCCTGTGTCTTTCTGTGTGTTGCGTAGCGTCGCTCTGGATGTGGTTTGTGTCTTTCTGTGTTTCTGTGTTTTTGCCAATGACTTGCTTGCGAGCCGTGTTGTTTGCGACAACCATTTCTGATCAGGTCGAATGATAGCAGCGGCCCTTGTGTTTTTCGGACATTGTTGCCAGAGGCTTGTAGATGTTTATGTGCTTCGCGGTGGGCTGTGCAACAAGCTGGAACAATCCAAGGTAGCTTCTGGCATCCTGAAGTTTCAAGATCTGAAGTTCGAGGCACTTGGTGTAAAGCGTGAAACCATGAGCTATCTGCGTCTGGTCCCTGGTTTGAAACATGCGGAAGTGAAGAAAACAGATTTGAAGTAACATGGAGTGATGGGGCACGAAAGAGCCTGTTTGTCGGCACATTTGGTATGTATGAATCGCGTTGCTTTGCAGCACATGCCGCAAGACGGTAGCAAGCTGAAGTGATTTGCGGTATGACAGCTTATGTCAGGAATTGCACGAGTCTGCAAAGGTTCGGGCTTTGGCACACCTCAGCAAACATGTATGGGTCAAAATTAAACCAGCAGGAGACCGCAGGTTTTAACCATGTTTCCATTTTCTAGGGTTCGATTTGGGGTACCGATTTTTGACCCACAGCCATGCCCCAAATGCATGAAGGTTAAAAACTGAGCGTCCCCGCAAGTCTGGTTATTTGAACCATCTTTGAGCCCTGAGAGGCTGCTATTGGCTGCTTTACCAAAGCCATACGCATGCAGCCTGTCAACATGCAGGCCCGGGATGCTTTTGAATGACGGAACCCTCCGAAAATGGGGGTTGTTTCCATTTGAATGTCTTTTTCAACCACCCCAACAAGGTGCGCTTGCTGCGCTCGCGCGATTTTGCAATACATCACTGATATGGACATTATGTGGAGGCTTACAGTAATCACGCATAGTAGCTGTAGTCGACCTGGGGTTCGTTCTTGCTTGGCGAAATGTAAGGGTCAGCAATTTCCCAACGTGTTCTGCACACCGCACGCATTCGTTCGTTCGTTCGTTTCTGACAATACATCCATCCATCCATCCATCCGTCTGTCCGTCCGTCCGTCCCTCCCTGCATGCAGCCATCCATCCATCCGTCCGTCCATGCATCCATGCATCCATGCATCCATGCATCCATGCATCCATGCATCCATGCATCCATGCATCCATGCATCCATGCATCCATGCATCCATGCATCCATGCATCCATGCATCCATGCATCCATGCATCCATGCATCCATGCATCCATGCATCCATGCATCCATGCATCCATGCATCCATGCATCCATGCATCCATGCATCCATGCATCCATGCATCATGCATCCGTGCATCCGTGCATCCGTGCATCCGTGCATCCGTGCATCCATGCATCCATGCATCCATGCATCCATGCATCCATGCATCCATGCATCCATGCATCCATGCATCCATGCATCCATGCATCCATGCATCCATGCATCCATGCATCCATTCATCCATGCATCCGTGCATCCGTGCATCCGTGCATCCGTGCATCCGTGCATCCATGCATCCATGCATCCATGCATCCATGCATCCATGCATCCATGCATCCATGCATCCATGCATCCATGCATCCATGCATGCATGCATCCATGCATCCATGCATCCATGCATCCATGCATCCATGCATCCATGCATCCATTCATCCATGCATCCATGCATCCATCCATCCATGTCACGCGACGTGCATGCGTTTCACTGCCTTGTCGTACCGTACTGTACCTCCTCATCGTACCCCACCTTGCATTGCATTGCATTGCATTGCGTTGCATTGATCTTGAACATGTTTCATTTCACTACGATACCATGCGCACTATTACATCACCATTTTTTTGTAGAGTTACATAACATACCGTTGCATTACATTACAATGCAATACATTGACATTACACTACATTAGATTGCAGGCATTAAATTTCGTTTCAAAACACGCCCTTACATCATATTACGTTAGTTACATTACATTGTGTTACATTATATTACATTCCTTGCATTGCTTTACAATGCATTGCATTGTAGTACATTCATTACATGTTGTTTCATTCAATTTCATTTCATTGGACTATCATACAAACCATTAAACACATCTTGGTTGCATTACATGATATATGGTATTGAATGGCATTGCATTACATTCCATCACATTCATTGCGTTTAGTCTCGTACTGCAATGCAAGCCATTCCATCGCCATACGTTACACTGCGACACATTACATTACATTACATGACACGACAATACATTGCATTGCATTACATGGCACTCCGTGGCATCGTTTTGCATTTCAATATAAACGTTACGTTACGCTACGCAAAGTTACGTCATGCCACGTTATGTTATGCTACGCCACATGACGTTACATTGCGTCATGTTACACTACGCTATGTTGCATTTTATGTATAATGCATGTCTATATATATATATGCATAGTATGCACAGGCACAGCAAGGAGACACACAACACAACAAACGGACACAAGCACATGTTTGAGGGGGTCTCTTGGGTTACTGGAATTCGAACGACGTTCTGCCTGTCGGCCAACTTTGCTTGAAAGGGCAGAGGACGCCTAATAGCGTAAAGCTGTCTTTTGGCACGATTGCTTGCTCGGGCCGAGGGTTTTTCGTTCCAAAGAAAGGCGAAATCTTTGGCTTCGCAGTTCAGTTTCTGGGTTGAGAATATCGCACCCTTTTGGGGTATTTGCGTTTCCAAATTAGGCATCCCACCGGGTGGTTGGTTCCGTTTGTGTTTCTCTATCGCGAGGCGCGACTGCATCGCGCCATCGCGCTCTCGTGCGCGGCCTGGGCGCGGGGCATGGAGGCGTTCCTCGCGAGTGCTCCCCTGCAAATCAGCATGAACTCCAATCGGGAGTGTCGTTTTTTGATGGTACCCTTTTTTTGGGTGGTTTTGAAAGGAAGCCAAAGGAAAACCACTGGTTTGGGAGTTCCCCTACTTTCAGACAAACCCAATCCCTAAACGGAGACTCTCTAAAACTGGTGTCTTCTTTGCAGTCGCGGTTGAAACCAAGAAGAGACCCAGAAAAGGGGGCCTTCCAGCTTTTCCTGAATGTGTAGTCCCATTGTCCGATCTCCGGAACCCATGTGCACCAAGCTATTTGTTTGCATGCAGTGGGCAGGAACGAAAACATTTCCCCCACCCGCTCCCCACCAGCCCCCCCACGATGCCGGCTGCCCTTTGTTTTGCAAGGGGTCAACAGGCAGAAGCCAACTGCATCCTCGTGCATGCGCAGTTTTTGCAACTGAAATTGCAAACATCCAGCGACGGATGGAATGTGTTTTTCTGATGATGTCTCGCGTGATATGGTGCTGCGACAGGTTGGTTTCTTTGTTCTTGTCTTTCCAGGCTCTTGCCACACCTTGGAGTCCTGAGTGTGCGGTTCGCACTTGGCGGACGGGGGTTCCAGATCCACATTTCCGGCTTTCTCCGTTTCGTGGTGCGCCCCGTGCGCCGTGCGCCCCAAGCCTCCCAGCGCCAGCGCCAGCGCCAGGGCTCGGCCCAAGAGACGGCGCGGGTGGTGCAGCTGCTGGCGGACGCAGTGCAGGACTTGGAGGCCGTGGAGCAGCAGGCGCGACTTCGCTTCGGTTTCGCGCGCTCTGGGCTTCGCCTCGCTTCGGAAGGTGGTGAGTTTTTTTTGTTTGTTTTTAAAATCCGGAGTATAGTTGGGCTCAGCTGGGTTTGCCTCAAGGTTGGGGGGCCCGAAAGGCGCCGAAATGGTTGGTTTCCTTTCGATTTGCTTTGAACGCCCTGAAAAGGAGGGGCCTTAAAAAGGTTCTGCCCGTGTGTGTTTGGTAGCTTCGCCTCCTTCTTCTTCTTCTTCTTCTTCTTCTTCTTCTTCTTTTGCTTTATGTGGGGAACAGCGCGGGTGAATAAAGAGTGCCCCAACTCAGAATCCTGCAAACGCATGAGATTTCATATTGCTCCAAAGCCTCTCTTTTCGGGCTCGGATGGCAATTCCTTGGGACTTAATAGTGTGTCTTTTCGGTGGGTGTCCACTTCAAAGAGATTCTATTCTACTTCTGACAAACTTATATCTCTGCGCAATGTAAAGCATCCAGTCTACAGTCAACCTCAGGCATAGGGACTCATCCCTGCTGTGGATGGACACAATCCCGCACCACCTTGAAACCATGAGAAACCATTGTTTGTTGGTATTTACAGGGGGAACTTGACTCATCCCAGAGTTTCCGAACGGTGGTGCGAAATGGATTTCGCAACCATCCACAGCATGAGTCTCCATGCCTGAGAATAGACTGGATGTTTTACATTGCACATAGCTCACTCGCCCTGATTTACCCCCCGCGAGCCCTGCCCTCCCCCCCTCCCCAACCCCCTCCCCCCCCCCCCCCACCTCCCCAACCCACCCCCCCCTCCCCCCCCCCCCTCCCCTCCTTCCCACCCCGACACCCCAGGTTTGGGGAGACCGCCCGAGGCCATGATCAGCGGGATCACGTCGCCCATTGGCGCTGGCCACCTCAGGGCCGCCTGCCTCTGCAGCCTCGGGCGCCCGGACGACGCCTGGGAGGCGCCGCAGGGCGCCCTTTGGCTTCGGAGCCAAAGCTGGATGGACGTGAGCTTCGGCCAGCTATCTATGGTTCATTTGGCAGGGACATGGGGGGGGGGGGACTGGTGACTTGCTAAGTTGAAAAGGAAAAGCCGGGGACTGGCATATGTGCTCGTAGTTGTTGAATGCCGCTTTTTTTTTTCCAGGGTCACTGAACAACTGGGTTCCAGAGGACCAGGCAGTCAGCAATTGAAAGCATGAAACGCCAGGAAAAGATGGACATCATTTGTTCGCCTAGGGATTTGTGTTTATCAATCATTTTTGATCGGAGCATGGGTTTGTCTCAAGATTGGGATCCCATTTTTTGAGTGGGGCATTCCGAAGCTCGTTCGGGGGCGGGTGCAGGCAACAGGCGTGGTTTTTGGCTGAAATCATTCTGACCAGATTGGCAGAAGCCCAGCAGAAATCATCACAAGCAGCTCGCGTCAGCAGCGACTGTGACAACGCAAGACGGAGGAAGAGGAAAGGAAAGCTAGACTTTGGTTGTATTTACCAAGTGGCATTTTTCTTTTTTTTAGCCACGACCGTATTTGAATTGCTGCTCCCTTGCAGGCCTTGTGTGACAGTGGGCGCCGCTGTGCCGGCCGGCGCTCCAACCTAGAAGGCGCGCATAGCTGATGATCTGACGGGTTGTTTTTCATTTCTTTCCCTTCAAACACCAGCAAATGGGCGTTGTGCTAAAGCCTGTTGTATTCGGGACAGGCGTTGTTTCAACTCACACTGAACATCTTTGCTGTAAGGGTGGTGGTGAGAATTAGGGAGCCCTTTTCGGGTTTCTTTTCAGCCAACATGAAATCAGGATCACCAAACGGGCCCACCTTTTTCGACGGGTGTGTCATTTTTGCAGCCCTCGTTGGTTGCAGGTCACGACCCTTGTGCACCTCGCCAGCGCGCATTAGAGGCCGGCGAAGCGCCTTCGGCCGAGAGCGTTTTGCCCAAAGAACTCGGGAGCTGATGGGACTCCAAGTCCAAGAGCCAGATATGGCTGTGGTGAATGGGTAACCCCAAAATGGTTGCCCTGGTAAATGGAACCAAGGACGATTCAACCTGCGGTCCGATTCCTGTTGGAGTGTGTTTGAGAAAGTTCTCTGGGCCTCTCCAAGTGCTTTGGACAGAGATGTCCGTCCTCAGGCGGAAGTCCTGGTGCTGCTGAAACGGTACTCGGAAGCCATTGAGGCCCGGGTGGGGGATTCTTGGGGGTGACTAACGGGAGCATCCCACCATGCGTGGCTTTTTTCTTTTCGGTGTCTCGTCAAAGGCCATCCGAAAAGCAGGGATGCCTGGGGCCTGATGTTCTTAGGATGCCCCAAAGAGAACTCTAGCTGTTTCGCAGCGCCATGATCGAACAGCAACATGTTCGGCAACCTTTGAGGGACTGAGGCAGCATACGAAATCTCAATTTTTGCGAACCTTGACCACGACCAACACGAGGATGTTACTTGGCCACTTCATTGTGAAAGCTGAAGAGGCACACTGAGCAGCGTCCACTTGAAAGGGACAAAATTGGAGACATGCCGCATGTGCCTCGCATTCTTTTGTCAGGCATGCTCAGCGGTGCTCGCCTTGAACAGCAGGCGCTGGAGTGGCAAGCGGAGTTCTTCAGTGTTCAACTCGTGACTTCCGACAGCTCGCTGGCCCACAATGTGCAAGGGATCGTCTTGTTGGCGCGGTTGACGAAGGTTTGCACCTGAGTGTTAAGATTCCAAGCTGTTGGGCAGGGGGCATGCAGATGCTCGCTTGATGCGCGGGTGGTGCCTGTCCGAGATCGGAGAGGTCGAAGCGGCATTCGAGGACTCGAGCCATTTCTTCGCGCGTTGAAGCGCGTTTGCCTTTGGGAAGTTAAGGAAGGAACGGCTTGGATGCAGTTGAGTGATTGTGCTGGGTGGGTTTGTTGCCAACTCTGTGGCAATAACGACATTTGTTAGATGCAGAGCTTGTGCAACCACATGCAAGTGGAGAGTCACATGCACGTGGAGAGTCACATGCAAGTGGAGAGTCACATGGGAGACGCTCACTAGGATTTACCAGAGCGAGCATGCAAACTGCTTAGCAAGCCGCTGCTGCGATTCCATGTGATAGAAGTTGCAAGGCTTTGGGCGGGTGTGCTACCACCTTCTACAGGGATTCGATTCATCTCCCGCCCCATGGAAGCAGTGGGAAGGACATCGTGGCTGCGGTGTCATTAGCTCCTGAGCGAGCTGATGTGCATGAGGCGCCAACTGGTGCAAGACGCTGCAAGTCAGGACATCGGCGGGATGCTAGCCGTTGTTTGAAGGAAGGAAAGCTACTGGGCTGTTCCAACGCCAAAGTCAAAGGTTGGAGGGCTCTTGTCCCAGATTCAGTCGGCACACTCGGTAGGTCTACGGGGACATTTGCCTGCAGTATGGCCGTCTCTCAGAGGTGGGTCACACTCCGTGTGTGCCCGTTTGAGTGGCCAAAAGTAGAGGCAGACAAGCTTACATCAAGAACGGGCATTGCTATTTTCAAGCAGCACTTTCTGATCGGAGTCCGAAAGCAATCTTCTGACAGAAAGACAAGAGGAAGAGGCAGTTCAACTGATGCGCCCAGGCGCCCAACTAGTTAGAATCCAGTTCGATTTGCGACAAAGCAACAAACGAGGAGGATGTAAGGTGCTCGTATTCTTTTGCTCGGGGGAATGCTGCCGGCCCCTTGCCAGGCGTATCATGCCTTTGGCAACGCCATGAAGCTGAGCGAGCCAATGGCGGCCAGGCATGCGCGGCATGCTACCCCCAATGGCTCAAAAGCCATGGTTTTCTTGCGCACAGACCATGTTTTGTGGTAACGCCATGTTCCTCTTGGTAAAAGCCGTGCCGCAAGAAGTGCACTTCGTCACTTTTTAGGTTTGGTTAGTGGAGGGTACCCCCAAGAAAAGGGACACTTGCTTCAAGCTGCTTGGACACTTCCTACGAAAGGAACCTGCCAGTTAGTTAGTGCAGGATCTTGATACACTCTGCTCACACGATTGAGCCGTCGCATGGCTTCCGCATGCAGGCTTTGCTTCAAGCGCGTCTGGGGCCTCGGCGCAGCGCATCGCTTGAGCGTCGGGAAGCCGGATGGCTTCCCACCGGGAAATTTGCGGGCCCAAATCAGGTGAACGGCCACCTTCGAAGACTTGGACCGTAAACAGCGGCTGTTGATCCTCAGTCGATTGCTAGGAAATAGACACAGGCACACACCCCTATCCACTCCAAAGGCTGAGCACTGCGTGCACTAGCTGTTACCTTGTACTGACCCCCGATTCCCCTCAACCATCATGGCTGTGAATGGATCCATGGAGCGCCTTGACCTAGGCTTTGGCGCAATTGCGGGTCGGCAACCTCGGGGGTGCCGAGCACGAGCTGAGCCGGGCGGTGAAGAGGTCGCGCCGCGCCCTTGGACGAAAGGAGAGCAAAGCGGTCCAGTTTTACATATCTTATGGGTCCATTTTTTTCGTCATGTAGGGATAAGTTTCCGTTTTGCAGCTTGACTCAAGCCTTGTGTACTAGGTGTCGGATCGCGCTGCGTGTTGCTTGTGTGGTTTTGCTCATGATTTGGTCTGGACATGACTGAGCAGGTTCTATGCCGTCAGCTGTCCGAGCAAAAGACGGAGCCAGAAACTTAGGATAAAGTCGGCAGCATATGCAGTGCCACGAGGATATGTTGCTGCTTTGAAGGTTGGCGTCCTGTCCGCCATGCTGAAGTGCGAATGGCGACATGCACATGTGCGCCGGTGTCTTAGTGTTGAACAAGTGAAGCAAGTGGGCATGCACATGATGTGAAGGTTGTTGAAGAAGGGATGCAGTTTTGTTGGACCCTTTTCCTTTTGCGACACGTTTTACAAGGGAAACTCAAAGGGTACAGGGATCCCAAATTGGAAGCCTTTCTTTTTGAGCAACCCTTACGCGTGCGGGATAGTCAACATACCGTTGGCTTCAGAAATGAATGCCAAACCATTGACATCTTCTGACTCTGTTCTTGTCCAAGAGCACTCAGACGCAAGATCTCAGGACTCAACATGATGATTCACCAATCCTGCGGCCTCATGTCGGTGCGGCGCTTGAAGACTTGTGCTCGCGATTCATGATTGCTGCTTCCCTGCACACCAGCAATTCGGAGGGGAAACTTGGATGTCACTTCGAAGATCCAGTTGTATATTTCATGTTCACAGGCCTCGTCGACCGCTGCGGATGGACTTCCGGTCATTGGCTCGGCTTGGCAATGCAAGCAGGCTTGTCTCAGGCTTCTGAATTCAAAGGTAGCGAAGGCAGCGCTGAAGCTTGCAGGGGTAGATTTGCACATTGGCATGTTGTCTCATCGCCGTCAGGTCATATTTCTTCCTCATGAATTGATGGTGTACAGAGGGGCTGCCTCGCCAGAAACCCGATGCAGCCATTCAGCCTTGAGCACTGGGTCGCATTGCATCTCGGTGAAGACAGCTGACTTGCTGAGGCTTTATCTGGGCGATACCTCGACAGCGATCCAGGAGACATAAGCTCAACTCCTGAATCCTTGGTCAAAATGCGGAAGTAGTTTGTGGTCCACGTGCGAGGGGGGACATGGACTAGTTTGCTCCTGTCCTTGAAGGCAAGCCGCATAGTTTGACAATGGCTCGCTTGTGGCAACCAGACCATTGCAGAACCAGAAGAGTCATGCGCAAATGTGAGAGTGGCTTGGGTAGCAATATGGCTGTGGGTCAACACCAATGGGATCCCATTTTGGGGTAGGTGATCCATTTTAGTCTATTTTAGTAGGGTTCGGGATGTTCACCGGGGGCACGATTTGGGTTTTGACCCACAGCCATACGGGGTTGTGTCCAGTTGGGGGAACCCGAACCCCCTTTGCAAGCAACCCTTCACAAAACTTTGGTGCATTTTGCTTGGATGTTTGGACTTTAACTTTTTACCAACTAATGGGTTTTCCATTAAACCACTAAAAGTTAAACTTTTAACAGGGGAGCAAGCAGCAACCGAGAAAACACAAACCCTGTTTGCATGGTTTTTCTCACAAATTTGCCCCTCAGGACTTTGCCGCTGCCCTTGAGCTGGCTCGGCACTTGTTCCAGGATGAGGCGCGCTCTCCTGCGGTTTTCTCGCATTTCCAAAGGGCAAGGAACCCGGGCGTGCCTTTGGGAGTTGGTTCCCTTCTCAAGTTGTGCAAGAGGGAAATCGGCAGGAACACCATTTTGGCTACTCCTATTTTGACGCATGGCTGTGGCTGAAATATAAATGTACCAACATGGCCCCCTTGGTAAATGGAACCCAAGAGTAAAACCTACGTAACCCTAGCTCCTTCATTTTGAGCCACAGCTACATACCCACGAGGAGCGCGTCTCCCTTTTCGCAGCTTTCAGATTTTTGCGAACTTGTGCGATCTGCGCAGGCCAACTGGGAGACGGCGGAGCTGCCGGAAGAGGCGGCGTCCAGAGAAGGCCCGACATAAGGGCTTGTGAAGTGCACGAAGAACCATACGTTTTGAGCTAATATCCATCCTATTAATATCCCAACCCCCCCATGAGCTATCAAGACTTTCGTAGGAATGCTCAAAAAGGGGTATGTTGGAAATTTCTTGCAGCATTGAAACCAAGCGGTCAGCTGAGGTTTGTTGTGCTTCGAATGCGAGTGCACCTTCAACTTGGCATTGTGCTTGCGCCCCAGAAAGCAAATTCAAGCTGGGCAGTGCTCAATATCTCTGCGATGTGTTCGCATGGTTCTACAACCCATAATCTGTTTGGGAGGGTAGAAAGGCCTGGATTGCAGATCATGCAGACTGCATTCACTTGCGAGGTCAAGTACGAGCACGGGATTATGTCGCAGCACTGGCAAGCATCGAGAAGCTCTGCGATCGCCTCGAGGACCGGGAGAAAAGGTATGGGCGAACGTGTCTTGCAACCCATAGGCCATGGTTCAAAACCGTTTTGGGATCCCATTTTTGGGATAGGTGAAATCACCACCTGGGATCCCATTTTTGGGATAGGTGAAATCACCACCTGGGATCCCATTTTTGGGATAGGTGAAATCACCACCTGGGATCCCATTTTTGGGATAGGTGAAATCACCACCTGGGATCCCATTTTTGGGATAGGTGAAATCACCACCTGGGATCCCATTTTTGGGATAGGTGAAATCACCACCTGGGATCCCATTTTTGGGATAGGTGAAATCACCACCTGGGTTTTGGGATAGGTGAATTCACTACCCATTTTAGTCTATAGTGGGGATTGAATCGGATGTTCACTGGGGGTATTTGGGTTTCGACCCATGGCCATCTGGGCAGGACCTGCCAGGCTTCGGCAGCGGCGCCTATGGTCTTTCCTGGTTCCTGGCGGGGATATGTCACCTCGCCCTGGACGCGCCAGGCAGTTCGCTGGTGAACGCTGGGTGCCATGTTCGTGGCTGACTGGTGTGCGGCGGTTTGACCTGCCAGGCTCCAGCGAGACCAACGCAAAAGAGGCCTTCTCTCGCCAGAACCTGAGAAGAGTTTTTTTTTGGCATTGGCTCTCGATCTTGGATGTTTGGAGGCTCCTACTCCTACGATGCCGCCTACGTGGATGACTTCTTGAGTCGGCACGGTAGCCAGCAGAGTTCAGTGGAGGCGGGGTATCGGAGGCAGGGCTTTGGCATTTGCCAATACGCCAGGTGCCGGACGACAGGCTGGTTGTTTGGGTCGGGTGCGATGAAATCCCGGCTGCGGGGCATGTGCTATTCGATGCTGACGCATAGCGGCCGCAACGAGGAATAAGAAGCCTGCCTGGCCATTCAGCCAAGCAGCCAGCCTGACCACAAACTGATGCTCACACTGAATGCTGGCGGCTGCTGTGGCCGGCAGCCGACCTTTCCAAGGAGACAGCTACTTGACAAGTCGTGCTTCTTTGGAAAAGATCATTGCATCGCAAACATCAGCAAGCCGCCAGGCCGGCGATTTGACATGTTGTTTATGGCGCATTCAACCGACCAGCTGATGTTGACGTTCAAGAGGCATTCGCCACTTGATCTTGATGCCAACATCCACAAGGAGACACGTACCAAAGAAGTGGCTGAGTTTTCTCAAAGCAAACTCTTACCGTTGCGACAGGGACGATTTGCTGCACCATCCACGTGTTTTGTGATGCCTTTGTGCACGTAAGCACTAGCGTCCAACGGGGGTATGACAAGGGCAAGCTAGGTCAGAGAGAACCCTGAGCTGGGAACGCCAAGGCATGCTTCGGTTGCTTGAGCAGTTTTAAACAGAACCGTGCGGACGAAAGGTCTCCTGGTCGTGGTCATCTTCGTCATTTTCGTCGTCATTGTCGTCGTCGTTGTCGTCGTCGTCGTCGTCGTCTTCGGCGGTGTCGTTTTTGTCCATGCTTTCGATTGTTTGGTTGCTTGCTTGCGTGCTGCTTGCGTGCTTGCGCGATTGCTTGCTCGTTTGGCTCTGTGACAAAGCTAGGGGCTCCCATTGCTCAGTGTTCCTGCAGGTTCGTTGCAAACGAAACACATGGGATGCATTCATTCCCACGTCGGACCGCCGCAGGGTGCGACCCGTCGGCTGGCCTCTCAGTGCCTACGAGGCGCTGTGCGCGTTTTGCGGCTCGAGCGACCGAGGCAGCTGTCCTCCGATTAGCAGAGAGGGCGGCGATGTACCTACCGTGGTGCGCCATGCACGGGCCAATAACAACGTACAGTCCCTGTGGTTCGCTTTTTGGGCGCTTGGCCATGGTCAAAACTGCAACTCATGACGCCAAAAGCTCATGTCAAGCAAGCTGCCGCACCCATTTGGGGCCCATTTAGGGATACCCAAGATAGGCTGCCAGCGTAGGTATGTTGCATGCAGCCTCAGACGGAGCGGGAGCCGGATCCAGATGGCCCAGGTTGGCCCGCGCAGGGGATTAATTAATTCGCATGGGCCCTGCATCAGGGTTGATGAAACTACAATGTCAGGAAGTCTAGGAAGGAAAAGGCATTTTGCCCTTTCACGGCTCGTATGTATTTAGTCTGCTTGTTTGCTTGCTTGCTTGCTTACCTTTGTTGTATGTCTCTGGTTTTCTACTGTGTGTTTTTGTGATTCTTCTTTGTCTCTGCATCCTTTGTATCTCTGTGTGCGTCCGTTTTCTGCTTCGTCTGTTTGCTGGTTGGTATGTCTTGTTTGTTTGTTTGTTTGTTTGTTTGTTTGTTTGTTTGTTTGTTTGTTTGTTTGTTTGTTTCTCTCTCAGGTTGTTTGTTTGCTTGCTGTTTGTCCATTTGTCAGCTCGTCTGTTTGTTTGTCTTCGTGTTTGTCGTGTCAGTCAGCCTGTCCGTCCGTCTGTCCGTCTGTCCATCTGTCTGTGTGCCTGTTTGTCGGTTTGTCGGTTGTTTGTTTGTTTGCTTGTTTTTGCTTGATTCATTGTTTCTGTGTTTCATTGTTTCTTTGCCTGTGCCCCTTTCTTTGTTGTTGGCTCTGTGTTGTTCTGCTTGTCTTGTATTGGTTTGGGTGTGTTTGAGTGCTTGCTTGCTTGCTTGTTTGCGTGCTTGCATGCTTGTGTGTTTGCTTAACTGCTTGCTTGCCTCCTCTCCTGGCTAGCTAGCGAGCGAGCCAGCGAATTCGCTAGCTTGCTTGCTTCTTGGTTTGGTTATGTGTTGTAGTTTTTGTGTGTGTTTGTTTTGTTTTGTTTTGTTTGTTTGTTATGAATGGCCAAATACAGGGAAGGTGTAATGTAATGCAATGCAGTGCAAATGCAATGTAATATAATGCAACTCCCCAGATAGCTGAAAGCTATAGAAGTTCTAACTTCCAACAAAGAAGGGAAACTGATTTGCCATATTGACGGCTGGGGTGCTGGGGCGGGGAGCTGCATTTTTGTTCTTTCCCCAGATAGCTGAAAGCTACAGGGGTTTAACTTCCAACACTGAAAGGAAACTGACTTGCGACATTGGCGGCTGGGTGCTGGGGGGGGGCGTGCAGTTTGGGGTGCTGGTGTAGGTGCTGCTTGGGAGCTGCTGGTGGTTTTTCTAATATTGACGGCAGGGTGCTAGAGCATGCAGCTTGGGTGCTGGTGCCGTTTCGGGGTGCTGTTTGGGGCGCTGCTTGGGTGCTGGTGACGGCGCGGGCGCATTTTGCGAGATTGACGGCCTGGTGCTAGGCGGCCAGTTGACAGTGCGGGCGCACTCTGCAAGATTGACGGTGCTCGGGGCCCGGGGTGCTGGCGCAGGTGCTGTTTTGGGATGCTGTTTGGGGTGCTATTTGAGGTGCTGGTGATGGTGCGGGCGCATTTTGGGGGTGCTGTTCGGGGTGCTGGTGCGGGCAAATGGTTTTGGGTGGCCTGGTGACGGGCGCGGACGCGTTTTTGCGAGATTGATGGCGGGGTGCTAGGGGGCATGCAATTTAGGGATTCTTGTGCAGGTGCTATGCTGTTTGGGGTGTTGTTTGAGGTGCTAATCGGGCAGTGCTGTTAGAGGTGTTGGTGTGCAATCGTTAGCACGCATTTCGCTATTTGGCGTCTATGCTGGTGTAATGTCATTTGTCTTTGGTTTGTGGGTTTGGCCTACGGCTATGCACGAAAGCGTGTGCACGGGTGTGCGTATGCACGTGTGCACACGAGCGTGTGCCCGATGTGCAAATGTGTGCGTACAGACTTCTGACCGCATTGCAAGCAAACAGATGGGACCTTCTTGGGACTTGCGGACGTGGGTGCAGACTTGGGTATGCAAGTGCTGTGCGGATAGGCAGTACACTTTTGCGGCTTTTGCGTGTCGGAAACCCCGCAAAGCCTCCACAGCCGCACACGTGTACGTCCGAGCGCTTGCCCGCGCGCACGCCCGCAGGCCCGTGAATCGCGCGCACACGCACAGGTAGTCACGTACCGTTGTCACTCAATCATGTTTGCATCCTTTCTGAGCGTGCGCTATGGATAATTCATATATATATATATATTATGCAAAGTCATGTTCTGTAAGGTATTGCACTACCCGTAGAGCCGGCAAAGCCGGGCGGAAGTTGTTCAAATCAGAAACTAGAGTTCGCCGCCTTCCTGTTCTTTATCTTTCTTTGTCCAGACCGACCCGGCCAGATGCCCGTGGGACCCAAAGTTCCGGCAGAAGCAGGCGCCGATGTTTCCATCTCGCGCTAAAAGGTCCGGAAGGAGTTCTCGGGGCTTGTTCGGGTTCTCGAGGCGCGTCGAAGCATGGAACTCGTATGGATCTTTCTGGTGGCTTTCGGATTTCGTGCTTGGTGACTTGGTGTCAGTCTTTGAACGGGATCCCTTCCGGTGGGTTTCTTCCCTTGACTGCGTGCAAAGGGTGGGCTCACTCGTGAGCCCGTGAGCCGCAAGGCGCTTGCTGAGCCCATTGCCGCCGATCCGCTTGAAGGCGCCACGACCCGTTGGCTTGTTTTTTTTTTTTTTGCGGAGCTCAACGACCTACGACCTTTGCATGATGTATATATGGCTGTGGAGACAGATTAGGCCATGGTTTAAAACCAATGGTAGCATTTTGGGATAGGTGAATTCACCGCTCGTTTTAGACAGGGATTGGGATGTTCACTGGGGGTACGGGGTTTTGACCCATGGCCAAATATATGGCTGTGGCTGAAACAAATGGTGCCACTTCTGGCCCCTTGGATGGAAATGCAGACCAACACCTGCGTATGCCCGGCTCTTCAACTTTGAGCCACACCCATATACATGCAGTGTTTTTGAGGATGACTGTTTCAGGGTGGTCTAAAGGGAAGCAGAAGGAAAGCCGGCATTGTGCGGATCAATGGGCGATCAGTATTTCTTGTCATGAAGGCAAGTTCCTTTATTGGGAGACAAGGACCATCGTCTAGGGATCGAACAGCCTGAAGCAAGTGGCCATGTGTTTTTTTCTTCTTCGGGGTGGAACAGCCTCCAAAAAGGCGCCGCGAGTTGCAAAAGTTTAGCTGATGGTTTCGCATGTCCATCGGGTCCAGCGAACTCACCTTCACTTGCCCAGGTGCGGGACGTGACTATCTGGGCTCGCCCCAGCGTCAGTGACCACCTGAGGAGGAAAAAAAGAAAAGAACGAAGCGCGCTTGACGCCGACTTCTCGGCGCGGATGCCGCTGGTTTTTGTGAGGCTGGCCTTTCGTGCGCCCGAGCGGCTGGAAGCCTCCCACCAGCCTTGCCAGCGGCTGAGAGGCTCCGAGGCTCGAGCGGCCGACTGGAGGAGTTGTTCGCGCTCGTAGAAATGGAAGTGGAAGTCATGCTGTGAAAGCTCTATGCAACATTGGGACATTTTTGGGTGAAGCCGAAGGTGCTCAACGGAAGGTGCTCGGAAGACTTGAGCATCCCCTGTACAGTGCAGTAGCTCACCAAGACAACATCGGGGATAAATGCTGACAGCATCGCGGACAACTGTTTTCTTGTGTGAAGCCATACACACACACAACATAGGCATTAGCTCAACACAAGCATCAATACAAATCATTTCTTGCTTGCTCTTGAAAGCGCGGGGAAACTTCCGACATGTGAGACGCGTATTGTAGCTAGAGCTGTATTTGTCTTGCTCCTTGAAGAAACCGAACCGGACGTTGACGCTAGTCATTTGGCATGGAGCCAACTGGCTTAGGCCCGATTAGACTTTTTACAGCAGCGCGACCCGCTGTCCATGGCAGGCCAGGTGTTACGTTTCTTGCAGTCAAGGAAGTCGGATCTGGGGGAGTGTTGGCTTTTGTATGCTCCGGTATCAGAGAATTGAGGAGGTGTTGCACATGCGCAGCCCCTGAGATGCTTGGAAAGGACACGAGCGATCCAGCGAGAATCCCGAAGATGGGGAATTCTGAGGGGTCGACCGTCGGTCTCACCCAAAACCTGTCGGTTTCACCGGCGGCACCGCACAGACTTAGACAATTCTACATGGATCTACATGGTAGTTGAAGGTGTGACTAGACAAGCTGCCACAAAGGTCGGAATTGGTGGCACCACTCGTTAATGGCCTGTGATAGCTCTCGACTGAAAGCCACAATGTTGGGAGCGGAAATCACCCATGGCGCAAGAAAGATGCGGTCGGGATGCCAGCATGGCAGCACAATGCGTCAGGTGCCTTTGCGACGGGTGCATCAGCCCCTAGCCTTACATGCAACCTGCTGAGTGAGCCATATTGCAGCCGCAAAGTCCTGACCCAGGGAGACCTCGCAGAGCGAGCTCAGAGCCATTGCAACTAATGCTATGTCAGCTACGGACCTCGTTCAAGTATGTGTGTTTACTTTGGGGGCTTGCAATTGCTCTGCAAATACTTGTTTTGGTATCCACCCACGATCGCCCAAAGAATCATGTTGGTCGCGGACTACCTTGTGCTGGGCACGTGCGCTGCCCATCTTCTCTTGGCATGGCTGCAAGGCTCGTGGCGAGGGGTGTTTCGGCGCTCGGGAGTGGATGCAGTGGATGCATCTCACTGAACATCAGTTCTTGTTCAACAGCAGGGACACGACACTGGAAACATTGAGATTGGCTGTGCAACATTTTGGTTCGCAATTGCCAGTGAACAGTCCTATGTCTTCAACACTCGTTGGCAGGGGCTCCAAGGGACTGTGACTTTGGATTTTGAGTCAAGACTCGTGGTTTTCTCCGAAGCAGTGTTCAAAGTTTGGTCAATCCAAATTTGATTTGAAACGAACCAGATCGCTTTGCTTCACATCCTGTAGGCCAAGCTCATTCTCAAAGGCGAAGGTTGTACCCTGCGCTTCGTTGATTGGGACACTGATGGTGACATCGACCTGCTGGTGGGTGAGGGCAACTCCACTTGGTTCCACGAGCGGCTTTTTCCGACCTCGTCCCAACATCAGTTTCGGAAGCATGAGTTGGAAGGTGATTCGGAGACAACATCTTCGACACTCCGCATTGGGATATGCAGTCCAAAGGTCGAATCGAAGTGGTCGATTGGGATGGTTACTGGATCTGAACGGACAGTTTTCGCTTGTTCGATTTACCTTCACAAGAAAAGACACGAGAGCCAACAGGAAGAAACATCAGTCCTGGCATTTACCAAGTTTCTACCTTCAGAAGAGCCCTTTGGGTGTTCTCCTTTTTAGCAACGCAATGAAAGGCCGTGAAAACAGACAGAGCCTTTGGGGAGTCACTGTTCAAAATGTGGCTCCAACAAAAAGACAGCTGAACCCGCAGTTTGAAGTCTTTTTTCTCTCCCAATTTTTGAGGCGTAGCGCCCATTTTAGAGGTATATCAAGTTCCTTTTGGGCACTCGGTCAGTAGCTTGCCATTAGCTATGGCGTGACGAACAGTTCTAACCAGTTTCGATGTACTTCTCCGAACATCTTCCGGTACTTGATTCGAAAATGACCCGAGCGGCGGGGTCTGTTTGAGTCGCCAGGTTGGGCTGACAGTGCATTGAATGTGAAGCGCGATGGGACCTCAGGGGGAAGGAGTGCCGGGTTGTCATAGTTTGTTCATGTTTTGTGTGAATAAACACAATAGTGGTAACAATGCTTATTGCTTTTTTGCTCAGGCCTTCAGGGATGCGTGTAAGCAGAAGCAAGAGCCTATGAGTATTACATTTGATTGATTGATTGATTGATTGATTGATTGACTGACTGATTTGATTTGATTTGATTTGATTTGATTTGATTTGATTTGATTTGATTTGATTTGATTGATTGATTTGATTTGATTTGATTTGATTTGATTTGATTTGATTTGATTTGATTGATTGATTGATTGATTGATTGATTGATTTGATTTGATTTGATTTGATTTGATTTGATTTGATTTGATTTGATTGGTTGGTTGGTTGGCTGTCTGGCTGGCTGTCTGGCTGGCTGGTTGGATTGATTGATTGATTGATTGATTGATTGATTGATTGATTGATTGATTGACTGATTGATTGATTGATTGATTGATTGATTGATTGATTGCTCCCCGGCCTCCGAGTTGTATGTTCATTTCGTGGCCGAAGCAATAGTACTTGCCGGGTTCTTACTGAATTGTTAGCATCACATCGCAGAGGTTTCTTGCAGTGTTTGGCAGGAAACCAGGATTTCATTGTGGACAGTCGGGGCTTGTTTACTGGTGCCAGTATCAGCTGCGAATTATGGCACATGCGAAGCCCCTGAGATGCTTGAAAGGACACGAGCGATCCAGCGATCCCGAAGACGGGACATGCTGAGGGCTCGACGGTTTCACCAGCGGCACCGCGCAGACTTGGACAGTTCTACGGTGGTTGTGGCATGTTGAAGGTGTGACTCAACGAGCTGCACCGCAGAGGGTCGCAAAGTCAGAATCGGCGCCGCTCGTTGATTTGTGACAGCGACGCTCTCACAATTTTGAGAGCTGTCATCCATGGAGCGAGAAAGTGGCGGTCGGGAATGCCAGCATCACAATGCTTCAGGTGCTTGTGCGATGAAGAAGGAGCACACGCAAGCTGAGTGAAGTCATAGCCGAGTCCTGACCCAAGCCTCACAGAGCGAGCTCGCCAGTGCAGCTGAAGTATGTCACCCACGCAGAGCCCGGCCCCTCGGACCCCTCGGACCCCGAGCGGACGGCGCCATGGACGTGGAACTCGAGCTGTCGCAGCAGCTCCAGGGCCATGAAAGCCAGGCGAGGGGGAAGTGACCGCTCCTAAGTGGGATGGTTTTGTTTGGGGTGGTTCCATGTCTCATTCCACTGAGCCAGCAAGTCCTGGATCCACGAGTTGCCTGCCAAACACAGGGCTCATTAAAAGATAAACGTTTTCAACCATTTTGAAGCATGTTGCTTTTTCAACACCAAAATAAAGGTTGAAACCACCATTTGCAAGTTGCAATGTCCAGGTCTATGATGTAAGGATTCCTGTTATTGTTGACCCCGGATGAAGTTAAACCCCTGGTTGATTTTGATCCCCTGTAAGGATCCCTGAAACAGAAGCCAATTTTCCCGATCAGGTGCGCTGCGTGGCTCTGCTCGGCGACGGCACGTCGGGTTGCCCAGCGCTGGTTTCCCGGCGCTGGTTCTCACGTCGCCCTGCCCGAGGCTTGTCTCGGGTGGCCTGGACTCGCAGGCCCGCGCGTGAGTTTCGAGGGTTGGGGGCGGGATATGGTGGCGCTCCCCAGACCTTTTGCCTTGGGAGACAAATGGGCCAAGAAGTGTGTTTCTGGAGAAGTGCGGCTGTAGGTCATCATTTGGAGAAGAGGCGAGAACGAGAGCTTTGCTCTTGTGAAGAAGCTGAGTCTCCACACCGACTTTGTGCGGGTCTTATGCCACTTGTGTGCGATTTTGCGCCAGTCATGGCACGGCTGAAGACCCGTCCCAAGGTCTTCACGCTGGCGGCATCCCACGCCGAGCCCGGTGCATTCTATTCGGGCTCCAAGGCCTAACCGTTGCCCACGGTCAAAGCTGCTTTCCGCCTCTGCGCCCAGGACAAGACAGCATTCAAGTGTGATCGTGAAGGCAACCCGTGCCGGTCCCTTATTCCTCCATGTGGTCAAACAAGAGCAGTATGGAACGAAACAGACTGTGCCTGAGGCATTCAGTTCCAAGGTCACGAGGGGCCAGGAACCCAACATTCAAGACGTGCTTTGCTGTAGCTTGCGCGTTACCTCCCCTTCACTGTGCTTGTGTGGAGTGCACAGCCACATGTGCCTGTGCAACGACCGTGTTCTTTTTCTGGTGCTTTCAGAGGCCAGTGTGCTCCATCGTGGAAGTTGGTGAAAAGGCGCAACCGATTCACTGCAGGTGTCGCGTCAGTCGTTACGTGGCAGGTCGTGACCGGTGCGTGGGATGGAACGGCCAAGGCGGAGTTCAAAGTGGGAGGTTGATACTGAAAACAGCCGGAACATGTATAAATATGGGTGTGTCCAAGAATGGGGGGACCCCTTTTAGATGGTTTTTACCAGGAAGCCAAAAATGGAGACAAACTCATTTTTTGGTCTCCCTACTTTGGGAATCGCCTACATTTTGTCCCCACTTGCACTTCGCATGTGCCAAGAATGCTTGAGGTGCAGGCCGAGGGTTGCCTTCCTTGCAGGTGTGGGATAGCAGCAACGGCAGCTGCCTCCATACTTTGGAAGCAGGCCTTTGCGCTTGGACGCTGATGTGAACTGGAGAAGCTGGTGGACGCTTACAGGACATCTGTTCAGGAAAGGATATGGCTGTGGGTCAAAAGCAATGGTACCATTTTGGGGTAGGTGCACCACCTGTTTTAGGCTTTATTTTAGTGGGGATTGGGATGTTCACTGGAACTACGGTTTGGATTTTGACAGATGGCCATATGGCACACGGGAACGGCGGCAGCTTCGTCGACAGCTGGCTCAGAAGCGCATGCACGGAGCCAATGCGTGTGGCGCAGGTGCGCACGCGGTCAGCGTGGCCTCCCTCCCCACAGGCGAGATAGTGACCGGATCACAGGAGCGGATCGTTAAGCTTTGCCATGGCTGCGAATCGAATCGCGTTGGCGAGGACAAGTCCTTGCGGGTTTTCCGCGGCAACACGTGCGTGCACAAGGTCGATGAGGTGGATCTGCAAAGTTTTGGTGCGGAACTAATAGACTAGGGCCCCCTCTATGCCCAGAAAGGTGCTCAGAACCCTTCTAGGAACCGCGTCTAGATCTCAGCACAGGCCCATGGCGACATCATCCGCCTGCTACCCAGTGGGAGGGGACCGCCGGAGGGGTTGAAAGAACGTGATGGCCAGGTTGCCGTGCGGAGTTCGATCAACCCGGGGGGGTGTTCCTGGGTAATGTGAACTTCAGACTAATCCGGAAGGCACATACCAAGGATGAAGCCTCCTAAAATGAATTGCCCGCCCCGCCAACAAGCGAAGGGGAACATACAAGGCGGCCTGTAGTGCCCGCTTTTGAGTCCGAGTGTGCCACATTGTTTTTTGGGGTTTCTACGTTAATTTGTGTCTCAAAATAAGGAACCCCTCCAAGTTGGCGTTCCTTCAGTTTTCCTCAAACCATCCAACACGGACTCTTTCATTTCTTAAGGGGAAAATAAAGGGAACGTTGTTTACAAAAACACGACATGGTATTGCACCAATCCAGGCTGCATCCAGACACCTCTGGTTTGAAAAGGAAAGGAAGGCTGCATACATGGGTCTGTTAAGATAGGGGACCTCCAAAAAAGATGTTTTCTTTTTGCTTTCCTTCAAAACTATCGCAGCAATTTGCCGCCAACTCCAAAAACGACACGCCTCATGCTTGGGATTCTGACGAAGTCAGCACGCGTGGATTTGTTTTCTTCTTTTTTTTGGTATTCTCCTTTTTTCCTTTTATTTTCTTCTTTTTTCTTCTTGTTTTTCCTCTTTTTGTTTCATTGTTTTCCTTTTGTTCCTTTTCTTCTTTTTGTTCTTTCTTTTTTCTTTCTTTTCTATTCTTTTTTTTCCAAGAATTTATTGTATCTTCATTCACTTGTCTTATTGTGGTGCTTGCCCACATGCTGGTGACCCTTAATTGGTGGTCTGGATTCCTGGTTTCGTTACGTGGCTTCCCTTTCACCCTCAAGAACTGGGGGTTCAAATCCCCAATCCAATCCAAACCACTCAAGAAGCTCACACTTGAGAGTCGTCCGAAAGGTCCTTGTATTGAGATATGAAGATGCTTCTTGTTTTGTTTTTTGTATTGAAGGTCCCTGTATTGAGGATCAACCGGTTTCCGGAGGGAAATTCAGACAAGCGACACGCCCAGAGTTCCAGTTTTCACCAATCAAGAAGCTGACACCTGAATCGATCCAAGCCATGGGTGTCCTTTTTGGTTGTTTTGTTAGCAAAATAGATGGCGATTCCTGGTTTTCCTGGTGGTTTTTTCTCATCTACCGGAAAAAACACCATTTGTTTCTCCCCTAAAAGGACACCAGTGAACATCCCAATGCCCACTGAAATAGAAAATGGGTGGTGAATTTACCTGCCAACCAAAATGGGATCCCAAAACGGTTTCGACCACCTTGTTTCTCATCTACCAGGGAAGCCCATCTATTTCCCCTAAAAGGACACCTATGATCCAAGCGGTTTGCCCCAAGGCTGCATCGCCTCCAGCTCCTCGGCCATGGCTACCGCCTCCAACGACGGCTCCGTGAAGCTCTGGTCCTTCGATGGCGCGGGGGACGGGGACGCGGGGCGCGGGACGCGGGGCGCGGGGCTCAAAAGATGGTACCCGAACTTAGCTCACGGAAACAAAGACCAACACCCGCGTAAGTGCCCGATTCTCTGAAAAGATGAGCCACACCCCAGCAGCATCACTCACTTTGGCAGGGATCCAGATGGCAGTGCTACCCGGGCATCAGTCCTATGTCTATGGAGTCGGGTGCTCAGTTCTTTGACACCCGGCATCGAGATGGCATGTACCAAGGTGGCCTTCTCGAGCGACAACAGTGAGGTCCTCTCCGCATCGGATGCCCCAGACCTAGCTTGGTCCGTTTCGATTGCGAGGGTGACGTTTTTGGGATGGATGGAGCTCAGGGCAGGGGAGGAAACGTGGCATTGACCCCCACTGCACTGAGTCAGGGCGTGTCACATTTGATTGGTGTGAAGTTTTGAGCGGCGCCATTGGTCCGCTTGTGATCGGCCTCCTTATGCCTCACGGGCTCGGCGTGTATGACGTGTCTCAGGACTGCACCCTCAAGGTTTGGTCCATAAGCGACTCCCAGTGCAAGCAGTCCATCAACCACGCTGGGACAGTGTGGCAGGCGGGTTCGCTTGCACAGATTTCAGCAGATAGCGGCAGATTTCAGCACATTGATAGAAAAAGACTCGCAACATCGTGATGAACCTTTGGAGTGACGACACAACAAGAAATTGGACAGCTTTGTGCCTTGCGCAGCAGTTCCTGAGTAAACCTTCATGCTCCGTTGGAAGGGGGTTGTGGCCCATTTTTACCACATGGCAAAAAGAGGTTTACGACAAGCATGACAAACAACGCCTATTGGACAGCTTTTGAAGGGAGGCACCCCTTCGTCATGTACAATTGTCCCAT